TCTTCATCTTCTTCTTCATCTTTATCTTTTCCTTTATCCTGATCTAACTATATCCATTATTTTCTTCATTTACATATTCACCCCCACCATTGATATTAGGTTAGGTATTTAAATTTTCCTTCCTCTTTGTCTTTATATTTAGGTTTCTTTGCTTTTATTTTAATCTCTGTATTTATCCCTACCTTCTTCTCCATACTCAACTTTACCTCCTTCTTTGTTTGAGTCTAATCTATTAATGTTCGTACATACATGCATCTTATTCCTAAACTGCTGCTTAGCGCGTTTCAGTAATTCACTATCAATATTAAAGCATACATTTAGGGGGCTTTTCCGTTCCAACCATGTACATGTATGGCATTGGTATTGGTGTGACTTTTGAATTGATTTTTTTGCGCTATTTTAATCTAATTTGGAATTTTAAAAATTGCCTGCACATCAGCATCAAAATACCTTTCTAATGACATATAATTGTTTCCATAGAAGTATAGTTTAGCCGTAAAAGGGGTGTAAAGGAAACATGATTGCCTATTTATATAATTGATTTACCCATAGTTTCGCGAAAATATTCAAATTTTTGTGTGTAAAATTTACTGTCGCACGGTGTTATAAAACTTAACATAAGTACAAAGAAACAACATAAAATGTTCCACTGAGTGTAAATATTTTTTTGCTGTGGCTGTATTTTCAAATGCACGGTTATAACAAAACTTATAATAAAACAATAAAGTGTGCAATATAGCTTAATTTGTTATGTGGGGAGATAGGTAATTACTAGCAAGTGGTAAAGCAGATTATAAAGGGCAAATTAAAGCTTATTAAAAATTTTGTTTTGGACAACACTTTAAGCCGACTCGGATCAAGTCATGTATTTGCTATTAACACATAAAAATACGTTTCATTGGTGCCATCTGCTTCATTTGCACTAAAATTTTTATTTTTACCTGTTTTTAGGGGAATTCTTCATCAAAATCAACAAAACTATAAAGCTGCCGTGGAGTCTTTTCGGAAAGCGGTACATTTTCGACCAAATTTAGCAGGTAAGTATTTATTGTTTACTTTTATGGTTCCTTGCGTATCTAGTTATGAAAATTTTACATATCACAATTCACATGCGTGGGACCCGATGCCTATATTAATTTTTGTTAACACACCATGGCTCTTTTTAAGAAATATATGTTTGGAACATTTTTTAGCAATCTCTAGATATTTAGAAGCAAAGTTTCTTCAAAAAATTTTTAAGCACAAATGTGCCCAGTTCTTCTACAATTTTATTTGAAGTAGAAAACACTTGTTCATTCGTGGCTGTCGGGGCGGAGTATTAAATATCTACTTTGAAAGTTGCTAAAGCAGCAAATGGCATATAAAAATATTTTATGTTCAAAGTCATTAATTCTGTGGCATCGTCTCCAAATGACTCATCATAAAACACAGTACGCCCTATACGCCAGTGTTGCCAGTGACTGGGTTAATAAAATCCCATCCAAATATAACCTAAATCCCGCGCTGTATATATCCATTATACATAAAATGCTTTCGGATGACAATACACAAGTATTTACATTAGGGTGGTCCGAAAATGCATGCGGGAAAAATTATAGTCGGAATTTTAATGCTCTCACCCCCTAGGATTGTTCTATACCGAAAAAATATACCCCTACTTTTTATTTTAAACTAAAAAATATTTAGTGGTCGCTCGATGCGCTTAAAGTTGTATATGTACTTTATATGGGAAAAATAACTTTTCGTAGAAATGGTATAGAGTTCATGAAACTGAATATTTTTCGATCGGAGTTTTTCTCTTCAGGAGACTCCCAGTAATAATACCCAATTCTTTATTAAACCATTTCTTCATAGTAACTATATTGTATAGGTCCGCCAAAAAGCCCTAAAAGTGCAATAATTGTTTGTTAAGTAAATTAGATTTGACTGCATATATTGCATTTAATGCTTACTAGAGATGCCGTTTTCAAATCGACTAAATCGAAGATCGATAAATCGAGCAATTCCTATTCGATTTTTGTCGATTTTTAAGCTGTGAATCGATTCAAATAATTCGGGAATCGACATTCGGTTTTTATTGAACCAAGGTTTGCCCCAGAAAATCTATAAAAATTTAAAGAAATTTGAATTTGTGACTTATACAAAACAAAAAAAAATACTTGGGAAAGCAAAGACCAATGAATTCATTTCATATCCGATTATAGGGCTCCTCAGAGAAGCCTCTTGAAATTAACACTATACAAAATTATGGCTAATAATACAACAAAAACTCCAAAAATTTGTAGTTCCCAACTTTATGCAAATTTTCACAAAAAACTTTCACCCTCAAGAACTCCTTTTACATATTTTTAAAGGGTAATTAAGTGAAATAAACATAGAGTTAGCGAAAACAAAATAAAAAACTAAAGAACGCCCCATTGCATAAAATATATATACATTAGACTGCATCACTCCCCATACAAAAATAAAAATCGATACTATTTTTCCATTGGAATTATAAAATCTATTATATTTTAAGACGTCCACCAAAATATTTCGAAAAAATATTAAGATTTAAGTGAGCTGGACCAATTTCAAAATACCTCCAAAAATTGAGTTTTTTATGAATAAAAATATTTTCTTAAATTTTTTTTTTTAAATCCCCTCAAATGACAAAACAGTTTAAGCCTAAAAAATATGCATAAAAATATTTAAAAAAAAATTTGAACGTAGTGATGCGATTTTTGATGCTGTTTTTTAACTTTTTTCAAAGATTGGTATAAGAAAAACTTGAATAACTGAGCGTAAACTCTTCTGATTTAGACCTAGGAGGTGTCGATGGAAAGGTATTTTTTTACC